CACTGGTAAATTCTATCAAAAATATAAGCAATAGGGGCTGGCAGGTGGTGTGGGGCTGGCAGGTGGCATGGTGGTTAAGGGTGTTGGACACCCACATGACTGACTGGTGTTCGAGTTGTGGAACCGGAAACTTCCTCTCTCTCTCTCATTCTATCCCTCTCTGGTCAAATTAAAATAAATAAATAAATAAATAAATAAATAAATAAATATATAAGCAATAATAAGAATCGTACTTAATCTTCCAGAAAGCTGAAGAGAAAAGACTGTTTTTGACTCATTCTGTCTGAATACTATCCTGATCCCAAAATCGGACTAAGATATTATAAAAAGCAAAACTACAGACCTATATCCCTCATGAGCACATGCAAGTTCCAAACAAAATTTCAATCAAATCTAACCATATAAAAAAAGGATAATACATCATGTCTAAGTGAAGTTTATCCCAGGAATGCAATATTGGTGTAACATTGGCTAATCTATCAATACAAATGACCATATTAACAATCTGAAAGACACAAATTAGAATGATCACCTCAAGAGTCAGAAAAGCATGCAACAAAATCCAGTATACAGTCTGATGAAAGTTCTCAACAAACAACAAAAAGGAATTTCACCAACCTGATAAAGGGCATCGATGAAAACCTACTATTAACATACTTAATGGTGAAAACGTTATGTTTCTTCCTTAAGAATAAAGAAAGTTTCTGATCTCATTTTTATTCAAAATTATGCTGATGCAGAAAATCCAATGAACTCTACCACCCAAAATTGCAAAAATTGCATGTTTTTATCATGGTAAGAATAAGAGATCAACAACATAAGTTCTTAGTCCATTCAACTGCTTTAAAAAATTCCACAGACTAATTTATAGACAGCAGAATCCATCGCTCACAGCTCTGGAGACTGGGAAGTCCAAGATTCGGTACCGGCAGATTCCATGTCTAGTACAAGCTTGCTCTCTGCTTCATTGATGGAGCCTAGGCTCTACATCCTCACACAGTGAAAGGGGCAAGCAGGTTCCCTTAAGCATCTTCTATAAAGACCCCTTTAGTGATGGCTCCGCCCTCAAGACTGCCTGCCTGCTAAAGGCCTTACCTATTAAAACCAACACATTGTGAACTAAGTTCCAACCTAAAAATTTAGGGGAGACACCAAGATTCAGATCAAAGCATACATTGACTAATGGGTGACAGAATATTTGACTATTGGATGACAGAATTCATACTATTTATAGTGGCATTATGTTACTAACTACTTAGGGATTGATCAGACAGATGCGTGAGACCTATATTCTGAAGACTACAGAATACTGCTGAAAGAAATACTATTTTAAGTCCTTAGAAAAAAATAAAATGACATTTAATTTTTCTCAATCTATCCTTAATTATTAACCAAGGAGGGACTAGCAGTTGGCTATGTCGCTGGACTCCCATGTAGTCAACCACAGTTCGAGTCCTGGACTCGGTGGCTTAAACTCACACCGGACACGTGTTCATGTATGCCCAAAATCCTGAGAAGAGAATGGAGGAGAAGGGATTGCGATGTGGCTATCAGCCCCGGGCGTGATTTCTCTCTTTCTGTATCTGTCTCTCTCTTTCTGGAGAGCGCACACACCCTGTAGCAAAAACCTCTCCAAAAAAAAAAAAAAAAAAGAAATTATTAACCAAGGAGTTCATAGCTGCAAAGAGAATAAATAGTAAGTAGGATTAACGTTATTCACCATCATAGAAGTTCTTAATAGAAAGGAATCTTAAAATGCATTAAATGTGTCGGGCTGGCTCCATAGCCTAGTACTTAAGGGAGCTGGATCCCAAAAGGCTGACCATAAGTCAAACCCAGTCCCAGTGGCTGGAAAAACACATGTGACATTCATATCCCAAATCCTGAAGCAGCTCAAAGCTGAAGCAGGAATAACCAGCCAGAGAAGGAAAAGGTCATAGTCAAGGGATGGAGTGGGGGAAGGAGAGTCTGATGTGTCCTCAAAGCCCCCAGAGGAGTGTGGAGGAAAGGGAAAGACCATCTGGCTAATGATGGCGTCAGAGAGGAAGGTCGAGGTCAGACCATGTAGGATCACGCAGGAACTGGGATTTTGTCCCAAGAACGATAAGAAGCCATTTTACAGGTTTTTCCAAAATGTTTCTGTCTTTCTCCTGTAAGAGAAGAGGTGGGGAGAAAGAGAGAGAGAGAGCCCCAACAGGGTGTTCGCACTGCCCCCAGCCTTGGCCGGTCAGGATCACAGGCACGTGCTTGACACTCACAAGGAGGCTTTGGGACATGAACCCACGTGGCTTCAGCATTGCAGATCATCACATTACCTACCACTGTACCACCAGGGCTGACCGTTTTAGTTTCAGCTACTACAAACATGATTAGATTCTTAAGATTATATTCTAGTTGCTCTGGTGGAGAATCAACTCTACACAATATCATAGTGTCCTACCACAGATGGTCCCCTTTCCACAAGCACTGAAAATGCCAAATAATACATATTGTGCTTTTATTTAAATTTTTTAAAAATACATCACATAACTTAGAAGAAAGCATAGAATATCTAAAAAGGAAGACCCTACCTAAATGTGGGTCGTAGGGATTGGGATTCCTATACGTACTTGAGAGAAGATCATTAAAATAATGTTGACAGCTTGGAACGCTGGACCATGTGGTAATAGATGAGAACCCCTCCCCCCACCCCATGGCTCTAGAAAAGCAGTAAGGAGTGAGCATTTGGTTGGCAGCTGAGGCACTGGACAAGCCTGACCTAGTAGCTTGAAAATAACACCAGGCAAGTGTGCATGTGTGTTCAAAGTAACTGAGAGGAAGGTGGAGAAGGGACTGCAGTGTGGGCACCACCTCCCCAGGGGGTGTGATTTCTCGCTTTCATTCTCTCTCTCTCTCTAGCAAAACATGCTCCTTATGACAAAAAAAATCTTTAAAAAAAAATGAAAAGCAGTAAGGAAGCTTGTTGTCTGCTAGTAATAGGGAGAAATGTGCATCTATTTTAAGGCACTTAAGAAAACTGACATGAGGTCTGTGTCATGTGTGGAGATCCAGATTCAATATTACAAGCCGAAAAGTTATCTTAAATCTGGTTTAAAATAGTTAAAACTTCTAGGACTCTGCAAAACCAGTCTACACTGTCCCAAACCAGGTAGAGAAAACTCCCACAGGACAAACCACCTCTCTGGTGATAAGCTCCTGCTAAAATCTGCCTCACTGAAAGAAATCAGCCACTAGGAGGGACAGCCAACAAATAGGGTACAACAAACCTTGGAAAGGGATAATTTTATACAGATGGATTTCATTGCTATTACTATTCATGCTTTAGTTCCCCTTCAGGGCCAATGCAAAACCTTTTAAAATTTCTATCTCTGCAAAGATTATTAATGATCTGTAATTTCTATCTCTGCAAAGATTACTGATAATTCTTGACGTTCACCCAGAGTGAAAAAAGGGGATGTAAAAAGTGCAACTCAGAGCACACAGGTGGCCGGGCATCGTTATTAGCTGTATTAGGCGGCTGCTGCCTGAACTAGGAAACGAATTAACTGCCAGGTTGCTGCTGATCTTCACCTGCTATTTTGGAACTAGACAAACATGTACCTTTATTTTGACGTATTTAGTTAATATTTAAATAAATGTATGAAATTGTATCCTCCAATTCTTCTGGATGGATTAAATTTTTGAACGTTTTCAAAAGGAGACCACATTTAAAATGAAATGTCTGCAGCATCTTCAAGTGTCAGTACCACTTTAAAAGGTCAAATATTATTTAGAAGAGTAGTTTCAAGTATCTTTCACCTTCAAATGTCACCCACCACGCAGCCCATGCTCGCACCATACTCAGTTCCTCGCTGGACACGTTTGTCTTTAACTAACAGGATGCCTGCACATAGGTGCGTGGACTGGTTCCAGTAGTGGATGTTGGGGCTGGGCCTCTGAGCAGTGCTAGCCTGCTGGGCTGGGCTTCCTCTGTGTTTGCAGCCTCTGCCCATTGCTGGGTTGCCACCTGGGCTCTGCCCCCTGCCAGAACAGTAGTGGCGTTAAGATTCTCATGGGAGTGCAAACCTTACTTGGAGTGATTGTTTCAGTGTACCCTGGAACGTGCTAGTGGTGGAAATGGGAGGACGATAAACGTGGCGCACTTCGGTCATCCCAGGACCAAGTCCTCCTGGGCCCCTCTTCCGGTGGTCAGTCTCTGGTGCCAAAATGTCGGGGACTGCTGCTCTAAGTACCAGCCTAGGCCAGTGGGATCAAAGGGGGCTGCCATGTTGACCTGTGGGACCCCAAACCTCATCACATCTTACATGCTAAATGGCACGCCTCCCGTTGGCATGACTGCAGATACTCACCAGGGCTACCAGCAGGAAACCATCTGATAAACACAAAAAGGTTAGGAAGGCTTTGGAATGTCGGAAACAGCTCCGCTTTGTTGTCTTAAGCCCTGCAGCTCAAGACCACCAGAAGTTGTGAGTGAGTCAACTGCTCCCGACCTCGGCCGCGCAGTGAAGCTGGTGCGTGCGTGATGCTGGGCTCCAGCTTGGGAGCGGCTCTGCAACACCCAGACATGGACTAAAGGGCACTTCTTTCAGAATAAATCGAAAATTGGTTAAGACAGTTAAACCCTAAGAACTCATTTAAGCTTTATTAGCGTGCTGTTTTTATTTTATTATTCCTTTTTTTCTCGGTGAGGTTTTTGCCATACGGTGCAAGCGCTCTCTAGAGAGACAGAGACAGGGAGAGACAAAGTGAGGAATCAACCCCGGGGGGAATGCCCAAGCCACAACCCCCTCCGCTCCGGGTCCTTAGAGCACACAGCCTCTGTAAGATCTCCGAGGTCGCAGCCCTCCCCAGCTGGGCACACGCTCAGGCCCCGCCCACACCCGCTCAGGCCCCGCCCACGCCCGCTCAGGCCCCGCCCACGCCCGCGGAGGGCGCGGGGGCGGCCACGCTCCTACGTCGGTCCCCAGCTCGGGGCCGCTTCTTCATTGCCTGAGTTTCTCCGCTCCTTCCCTTCGTCGTCACCCCCGTATCTGTCGAAGAGGCTAACCGACGAGGATTAGAGACCTGAAGAGAGAGCGGAGACGCGGTCGGGCAATGGAGGCCTGCGCGGCCAGGATGTCCTGAGCGGATTTTCCGGCACTGCTCAGGGCAGCCGCGGAGGAAGCCGGGTCCTGACGCCGGGGAGGAGGGGCCTGTGTCCGAGCTCGCCGTGCTGATTGGCTGCGGGGCGCTGTGGAGGGGAACCCGGATGTGACTGGGCGGCCGAGTTGGCAGTGGCGGCCCCGGGGTTGAGCCGTTCGGTGCCGGCGGCGGCTGGGCGGATGGCGGGGGGCTGGGCCGGCTTCTCCGAGGAGGAGCTGAGGAAGCTAAGGGCGGCTCAAGGTACCGA